GCATTTGTTGTTTCACAGATAGTGTGGATTTCTGCAGAGCAGGGCAACTCTTCAGGGGCCAGGCTTCCAATGTTGCCACTGTTGTAGTGTTAAACCCTCTCTGTCCAAATGTCAGCACCCTGCTGTTTGGTGACTAAGAAATGTGTACCATTATATACACCCTGTAAAATGGTGGCTTGGCACTCTTTAACTGTCTTCTTCCATTGTGCTTTTTTGTAGGCAAGTCACAGGTCCCCACATTGACTGTTTCTCCATTTAACTTGTCCTCGAATGACAGAAGTCACTGGTGAGCCTGAGTTGTGCTGCTTGTGACTCCTAATGACATTCAGCCTTCATGCTATGATGGTGCTTTTTTTTTTTCCCTTCAAAGTAGGTTGCTTTTAAGTGTCTTAATGAAACCATTTGCTGTAAAATTTCTTCTGAAGATAAAATGGATACTGCCTCACTGCCTAATGTCTTAATGTGCTTGAGTTATTTTTTTCTTCTATATGAATGTATATTGCCTCATTAGGGCAGGAAGTGTGTGTGACTGTGGATGTGTTTCCCCATATTGCTTGCAGTGAAGAGCTTTACAGTTTCCCATGATTGTCTTCCACTGCTAGAATGTTTGTACAGCAAAAATCTGTGGATAGGTGAGGTACCTTCTGAAATGTGGGAATTCAGCCTCCCAAGATCTTGTTTTTATGGAACTCTAGCAATAATGTGAAGAATGATGGGCTGTGGAGGAAATGTCTGCCTTGGAGAGTGGGGTATTTCATTTTGGTTTGGGGTTTTTTTCACCGTAAGTTTCAGCAAGAAACTTTGTGGAACATTTGTGAGCATTGTTGAAAGGACTGGTGTGCGTGTGTTTGTGTCCATTTTGTGTTGTGTTCAGTGTTTCCAAATGCAATTATGAATCAAAATAAATTACTGGAAATGATCTGTGTAGTGGCCTGTTGATTTATGCCAACACGCTCAGCCAGGTCAATGACCAAAGCTGCCATCATCTCACGGCTATTTATCTGTGAGCTGGACTTGGGAATAAGGGAGCCACAGGCTAAGGAGAAGCTAGGAAATAAGATTTATTCCAGTTCTGAAAAAGTTGACCTTTGGGTTTGTGTTGGGATGAAACAGATGCCTGCAGGCAGTTCTCACCACCCTGGAAACTGTATCTGATCAGGTTCCTAGTCTTAGTCCAGTGTTCTGCTTTCCCTCCTACACCTGCCCACGCAATACATCCAGAGCCCTAAAAAAGAAGAATCTCTTACTTTAAAGTAAGCCATGCTTGGAAATGACGTGCATATTGTGTGTGCAGATGGTGGGAAGAGATGTAGCCTTTGATTCCATTTGTATCTCGGGGCATCTGCTGAAAGGCAGAATGACTTTTCATGAGTAGAACCACAGGTGTCTTCAATTGTTCCCAGAGCTCTGCTTTGATTTGCCTGGGTGGCACTTCTGTCAGCTGTTCAGCTCTTTCTCTTTGAAGATTACTTTGCAGTCACTGACAACAAGGACCTGCTAGCAGTGAGCCAGGCTTGTAGCTGGGTGAGAGTGGTGTGTGCACAAGGGTGTCAGACTTCTCACACCCCAGCAGCCACCAGCTTCTTTAACTCCAGTGCTGATGGTAGGGACATGTGAGACTACTGTTTCCCTCAGTTTTCCTATTTCTTACTTCCCTGTGGCTTGCCATGTTGCCCTGCACAGCAGGAGCATGCCTGGAGCGGTAGTTCAGGTGCTGGGGGAAGCCAAGATGCACAGTATGTGTCTATAATGCACAAGAGGTCTGCAAAGATGTGAGCTGTAGATCACTCTGTAGTGGCTCATGGGCCCTTCCCAAGCTAACTACTGTTTGCCTGGGGGGAGCAGGAGAAAAGACTGCGGGGAGACCTTTTTGCGGGCTTTCAGTTCTTAAAAGTGGCCTATAAGAAAGATGGGGAGAGACTTTTTAGCAGGGCCTGTTGATGCTATGAGGGTTGATGGTTTTAAACTAAAAGAGGGGAGATTCAGACTGGATGTGAGGAAAAAATTCTTTACAGTGAGGGTGCTGAAATACTGGCACAGGCTGCCCAGAGAGGTGGTGGGTGCACCACCCCTGGAGACATTCAAGGCCAGGCTGGATGTGGTTCTGGGCAACCTGATCTAGTTGGAGATGCTCATTGCATGGGAATTGAACTAGGAGACCTTCGGAGGTCCCTTCCAACCCAAACTATTCAATGATTCTATGAAATTGTTTAATATTTCAGGCACTGTTTCAAATCCAGCTCAAGCTGAGCCTCGGAGACTTTAAAGAGACTGCTGTGCAGATTTACTGAGATGATACCTGTGTGGTCAAGGTTTTGGGGAAAGCAGGTAAGAACTCTTAAGGGCAGCTGTCAGCAGAGAATGGGGTTGGGAGTTTGCAATCACTTCAGGGTTCTGCATTTGCTGTTGTACCAAAGTGAAAATCCTCCCCCCTTCCCTGCACAGAAGGCAAGTCTGGCTGTGCAGCCACCTCCCTCTCTTGCCAAGAAAAGCAAGGAGCTGACAGGCAGGAGTGTGCCTGAGCTGTGAGAGTGTGGGCTGATGACCAGCATTAAGGCATTGACATCCGCATCTTAACCAAGCACTGGAGCAGGAGGCTGTACTCTGGCACAGCTGCAGGCTGAAACTGTTTCCTTAGTCTGAAAGCTCTCTTACATGTCACCCTCCCGCTGGAAATGCTTGCAAGAGCTTTAATCTGCAAAACACTAACATCATGCCATCATGCCTGGGATTTTAGGGGTGTCTCATGCAGTCTCCCAACAGCACCAACTGGCACAGCCTTATTTCTCTCAAGGAGGTGAGTTGTTTCAATCAGGTGTGGGCTGAATGAGGAAATTGAGGGGCTTCTCATCTCTGCTTTGATTCCTGTTGATTCAGACCACATTCAGTATGAATGTGCCTAATCCTTGAACATCATCCCTATCCTAACTGAGGCTTCAGCTCCATGCTAGTGTTAACAGTAGGCAAGGGCAAAGGGGTCTCAAAGCACAGCTGCTCGGGGATCTTCTTTTGGCTGCTTGCTGCTGGAACTGCCCAGCCAAACAGCATCCTGCTAGGAGAATCTTTCTCAAAGCTACTAAGAGTAGAAGAAAACCCTAGAAGATGAGAAAAAGGTCGGTTTCAACAGTAAGTGTTGAATGCACTTCAGGTTCTTTGGAGTATTATTTTAATGGAAGGTGAGTGGGCACTGAGGTGAGTGGGAGCTCTGAACCTCAAGGATAAAACGTGCAAGTGTGGCGTTGCTGGGGAAAGAATCTGCAGTTCAGTAAAGTGGAAGCACCCTTGCATAGCCGTGGTTTGGGGCACCCTTTTAGCTGTGAGAGATGTTGATTCAATGCCTGCTTAGCCTCTTGCTAGGGTCAGACCAGGCTGTGCTTGTCCACTCTACTGCTCCATCCTGCTGCTACTCCCCATAGAGCTTCTCTGTGTCCTGTCTCCAGCTGGCCATAATGCTGCCTTCTCTCTAGCTGAACAAGGATGTGTTCTCCCCTTTCATCCTCTAGGTCACTATCCTCCTTATGCCATGAATCCAGGTAAAGGGTGGACTGGAGACGTTGCCTGCTCTCTTCATTGCCCTGGTGAGGAGGAAGTCAGCTTAGGAAAAGGCCACCAGTAACACGAAAGCTCTTCTGGAGGTGTTCCAGGAGCTCATTAGGCACTTCATGGAGAGGCTTTCAAGGGGAGAGTGTGTACAGAGAGGAAGAGGATTGCTGCTGCTGTGCTCCTACAGCTTGCCATGATTAGCACCGAGTGGCTGCTGACTGCACTGGGGCATTAGTTTGGTAGCTCAGTCCCCAGCCCTGCTTCTCCCTGCCTTTTTGGCTCAGTGAAAGACACTACCCTTCTCCAGTCGCTGTTCTTCCCTACAAGACAAGTTATTCAGCCCTCTCTCAGCTTGCTGCTTCCTCTCACAGTCTGCCTTCTAGTGCAGCCAGATGGTCTGTACTCGCCCACACTTCACATAGGCACCTTCAGCTCCCTGTGTTTGGATAGTGTGCTCATCTGACCTGCTGGTGGTCTCGTCTGTGTCTGCCTTTGGGAGATGGTGAGTGCTCATGTGTTGTGGAGAACGGCTGTGGGAGTGATAGTTGTCTTCAGACAACTTCAGATGGAGAATCTGCTTGACAGCCTGGCTTGTGTGTGCAGGAGGCCCTCTGACCACATCCCTATGAGCTATGTGCATGGATGCTGATGCTCTGAAGCCTGCTGCTGGGCACCTGTCCTGTACTGCTTCACCTGCAGTGCTCAGGTCTGTGACCATGGGCTGACATCTAGTGCTGTGTAGTTGGCTTCTGACACAGTTTGCACTTGTGTTCATTTCACGTTTGGGTTTATTGGAAGCTTTCAGTGCATGTACAGGTTTTAAAAGCTACCTGATACAATGGGTAACAGTAAACTGTCTTCTTCCTGGCATCATGCGAGTGCTCCCTGTACTGCCATATGCTTTTGGAGGGAACTTTGCGTGTCTTGCTGTGAGGGGGAAATGATTCCAGACTCCTGCCTTATGCTGTTGCTAAGACAGGACATATCGTACCTTCACAGCATTACCCGCTGTGCACTATGCTGCAGGTTAACCTTAAACACTGGTAAGAAACTTTGTTTTAATCATGTCAGCGTTATGTAAAAACAGTTTACCTTCTTCTTGGATCTTTAATGGCTGGATCAAGTGAAAAGGCCCTGACAGACTTGCACAATATATCCTTAAATACTACAGTTAAGCAGCCTGGAAGCCGTTCAAATGCAAGACCGAGGCGCACACCACCACCACCACCACCGCCGCGCTATGCGGTGCTGTGCTGCGGTGTGCGGTGCCTCCCCTCACTCGAACCGCGCCGCCGCCAGCGCGATGGCCCTCCCGTGTTGCTAGGACACCGGGTCTGCTCCCTAGCAACGCGCCTCATCGCGGAGCGCTTTACGGCAGCTGCGGACGCTTCCATCGGGCCCTTCCACCGGGCTCTTCCCCCCGTCCCCTCCCGCGGCGGGGCCTGCCGCCGGCGGAGGCAGCGGGGGGGGTGGCGCCGCCATGTCATCGCCGGGGCGGTCCGAGGAGGTGGACCAGACGCTGTTCGTGGGGAACCTGGAGAGCCGCGTGCGGGAGGAGATCCTCTACGAGCTCTTCCTGCAGGTGTAGGGCGGGCCCCCGGGGCGGGCCGCAGCCGGGGGCGGCGGGAGGGGTCGTCGGGGCCGTGCGCGGGTGAGGTCGGTCCGCGGGCCGTAGCTCCGCGGTGGGGAGTGGCATCGTTCGCCGTTGGAACGCAGCGTGGAGACCGGCTGGTAAAGAGCGAAGCCGCCGGCCAGGGCTCTAGGCCGGTCCTGCCGTCCCCAGGCCACCGCGCACGTCTGGTTTTAGCCTGTTCGCGAAGTGCAGGGTTTGGTGCCGCAGTTGGTGATGAAGTTAAATGACGTAAAGATGTTCTTAAAATCCCCAGGAAAAAAAAACCCCAACAAAACAAACCAAGTGGGTTTTACACTTTCTTTAATATATTCTGAGCAAGAAGGTTTTGGTCAAGAATTTAATTAGGAAAAAATAGTGTAAAACCTGAAAATGTGCTGAGCAAGGCTAACAGAATTAACACGGTACTGTTAGGAATGATGTGCAGGTGAGGCTCTGGACTTCCACCCACAAATGACCTTTATATCAGAATGGTTTATGTTTTGATGCATGAGAAGATAATAAAAAAATCCATTGGTGGGTTTTTCATGGAGCTGGTGAGAAATACTATGTAGCTGGCCCTGTTTCAAACCTGAGCTTAATTATCTTTGGAAATAAAGTATGCCAAGGAGGAAAGAAAATGGCAAAGACAGAAAATGTTAAGGTGCTGAGTTGGCTTCAGTTTTGATCTCACATTGACAGCATCTCTGGCTAAACCAGGTTTATTAACCTGATAGTAGTAAGGAAAATGGGGAGGATATTCAGAGAAGGGAACATTACATCAAATGACAAGATGGACTGTCAGTAGTTGCTGATCATGGGCTTTTCCTGAAGTGGTTTATGGTGTGTTTGGTTTATTATTATTTTTTTTTTCCTCCTGGCGTGATCTAGCAATCCTCTGTCAAGTTAAAAGGTCCCAGACTGACTGGGCATTTTAGCTGACAGCATGGTGATAAACTTGCTTCTACCAGTCCACTGATTGCCTCTGTCTCAGAATGAATCTTGCTTCCTTCTGGTGAGTTCACAAAATAAAGAGTGCAAAAACAAGAGGTGGGCAGAATCATCTGTTATCTTGCTATTTCATTTGCTAATCAGGACTAGTTCTACTCACCAGTTTTATTCCACTGATTAATCTGATACTTGTCTTGTTAACCAGCATACTATGTATTTTCATTAAAAGGCCTTTTTGTTTGGTATGTTCCAGCCCTTTGGGTTGCTACCTGTGTTCCCTTATATTCCTAGCTTTCAGGTTTTGACTTTTCCCTGAAATTAGCAAAGAAGTATTTGTTTCTTCTCTTCCTGCCCCCCTTATTTTCTATGCAGTATTCCTACCTGTTTCCAACACTAAACAGCAGTCTGCTGTTTAACTGCAAATCTTGGGTAAAGAAAGCTTATCTTAGCAGAGGACATGACTAATTCCATACAATTTGTGGTACAAAAGTGATAAAAATAAGTGGATGCTCTCAAATGCGGCTTTTCATGACTTTTCTGCATACTCTGCAGCACTCGCCCAACTGCTGACTTTTATCTGAGTCTTTAGGTCATCCTGCTAACACCTGCTTTGATTTTTTTGTTCTGTTCACCTTATTCTCCATTGGGTTTCTCTGTCTTTTGCTGCAACAGCATGTGCTGCTCAGTGCAGTACTGCCCTTTCTTGGGAAGTATGCAGTTCAATATTCCTGCTATGGCATGGTCCTAAAGATGTACTCCAGTCCTGTAGCCTTTTCCCTCATCAAATTATGAGCAACTGTCTAGTACTGCTTCTAAACTATTAATATTTTTCTTTATGAACAGGAAGACTATGTATTTAAAAGAACAATCTGCAAAGGACTCGAGTTTGTCATTTCTAGTTCTTGAAGAACCAGATCATCCTCATTAGGCAAATATTAATCAGAAGACTGGATATATGTAATTTAAAAACATGCAGTGTAGTGCAGAACAGCAACAAAAACACCTGAAGGAGCCAATTCAAGTAAAAATACGTTCAGAATCTTACTGAAACCCCTTCTTTAAAATAAACAAGCCCCCAAACCCAACCCAACCAACCAAAAGAATAAACCAGAAACAAACACCCAAAGAAAGAAAAAAAGAGAACCCAACCAAAAGACCCCAGCAAACTTCCAGATATTTGGAAAGACAAGATCAACATCTTAAAGATTCCCTGCACAGGACAACCTATGTAGTATCCATTGCTGTATAGCCTGATTGCCCTCTGCACCACTAATAAAAACGGTACATTATCTTTGATCCTTTGTGTTTGTCTACATTAATTCCCTACTTGCACCAGCATTGGGGGGGTGTGGGGGGTGTGTGTGTGTTTAATTTTTCAGTAAAAGCATCTTATTTAATTGAGAATTTAGTTCATACACAGCTGGCAAAAGCATGAAGCAATCAAACGTTATTATCACAGACAACAGTCCTGAGTATCTTCAGTCTGACAACATGGAGGCTATAATAAGGGAGATGGCTGCACATCATCACTTTGAATGCTCAAAGCAAACTGCAGATTTGTTGTTTGAAAGGAATCCTTGGAGATGCAGAACAATAAAGTACATGGCTTTCTATGGCTTATTTTCTTTATCTGAGCATATGCCCTATATTTATTTTGAATGTTTAACTGTTTATGCAGTTTAATTGCTGTAAAGCTGTTAGGAGTTAACTTGTGTTAGCCTGAAGCTACAGATGACTTCTGAGTGACTTTTACTGCAAAGCACCTATTGTATCAGTAGCAGTAGTGGAAGGCAATTCTCCTGGTAACTGCTGGGTTTTGATTCAGAATAATGAATTCTCCATCTACTACAGTAATTTAGACATTCAGTGTTTTTTTTGCTGCTGGCTTTTTTTGTAATTTACATGGCCTTCATTGCTCATACTGTATGCTCCTAAAGTTAATTTCTGGCATCCTTAACACTCCAGAGCTGTGGCAGGAGACTGCTGCTGGCCGCTTCTTTTTGCTCTGCTAATCAGCCCTACAGACACATAGTTTGTTTTGAGGAGAAGCTGTTCATTCCGTGACTAATGCACTGACTCCATCTCGTGGAGATAAAATTCTTCATCTTTGATATCCATTAAGAAAATGAGAGTTTCTTTGAAATGGGGACAGTATTCAGGGTATCACTGCTTTAATTTGGTCCTAGAAGTACTATGCAAGGATTAAATATTACATGTAGGCATAGTCGGGACTTTTCACTGAAGGTACTTCTGCCAAAGAGTGTGGTTTGGGGATTTTGTTTTGTTGATGGGATTTTACAGGCACAAACCCAGTATGTCAGCTGTAGTGAGATGATGGGGTCTCCTGATTCCTTGCTATGTAGTTGTGAGGAGGGTTAGGCAGTACATAAAACTCTTTTGTGGTGGTTCCAGAAGCTCTACTCTCTATTCATCTTTGTATTCCCGTAGTGCTGATGCTGACCATGTTAGGAATTTAAGCAAGAGTAAAGCATATTTATGGATCAGGTCACTTTTACATAGCCTATATTATCAATTTGCTTAGTTAGGTTAGCAGTGCAGAAAAGCCCTGTGTAATAATTGTACTAGCAGCTGCACATGCATTAAGGTGACTTCTGCAATGGAATAAGTAAATTAGTCTTCCCCATTGCAGCAGCTGTCAGTGTATTTTAAAAATAAGCAAAAAACCCTGGTTATTAAAGACTCAGCATCTTCCAGGGGCTCATGCTTGGTTCCCTTTTAACATTTGCGGAGCTGATTTTTGTTTGTAGTAGGCTCAGGATTTGAGTTTGGGGAATGTGGAGGGACATCTTTTAAAAATGAAGATTCTTCTACGGAGAAATTTGCACTTTGACTATGGCAAAATACACATCATTATGAAACCATCAGAACGGAATGAAGTGTCAATCTCTGTTAATTTCTATGAAAAAATAATACAGATTTCTTTCAGGCTGGACCACTAATCAAAGTGACGATTTGTAAGGACAAAGAAGGAAAACCTAAGTCCTTTGGATTTGTCTGTTTTAAGCACAAAGAATCAGTGCCTTATGCAGTAGCTTTGCTGAATGGAATCCGTTTGTATGGAAGACCAATTAGAGTGCAGTTTCGGTTTGGTATGTTTAGTAATCTCAATGATTAAGTCTTTGTGAATGTTTTAGTTTTAATGACTATTTTTGAATCCTACAGGCTTTTACAAAGATGTTGGTTTATAGCTGGAACAAATTACAGTCCATTTTTTCAAGTAACAAAAACTTTTTGTGGCTTTTGTATAGGGCAGGAGTCAGTCTTTGTGTTTTTTGTTTATTAAGAGAATACAGTCGTTGGGCTCAGAACAGCCTTAACTTGCAAGACAGCTCAGACCATACTGTATGAAAAACATAGCAACACAGGTTTTCACACCAGATTACATTTAGGAATCAGGGTGTGACTTTGATTTGCAGTCTGGCACAAAGAGTTGATTCAGTGGGTGCAGCAACTACCAAGCTGTTTGATAGTTTATCAGAGCTGTTGTTTTAAATTGAACGAATTATAGTTCAAAGCATGTAGTCAGAGTCACATCCTTCATTTTATGTTTATGAAAATAAACTTTCTAGAAAGCTAATGATCAGGCACTGTTTGCAAACTAAACACTAAGGACTCATGTTCCCACTGGGCACTGTGCCACTCCTTGCTTTGCAGGCTGTAAAGAGCAGTTGCTGGCTTTAAATACAATGGCTGAAGTTCCTGAAGTCAGAAGCATGTCCTCTGTCTGTAACTGAATGGGAATTGCTCTGTTCTTGGTTGCTTCAACAGCCCTGATTTATGCTTCTGTTATTGAGTAAATGATAAATGAATGTTTTCAAGCAGTAAAATGATGCTATGAAGCATTCACCAAAAAAAGGCAAATACTTTATATACTACATTATATATACTTACATATAAAGGGCAAACCTTTATATACTACCTTATATATACTAGCACAGTACAGATGCCACAGAACACTTCCTGTGGTTTTAGCTTGTTAATTGAATAGTTGTAACTGAATAGTCATTATGCTCTTGTCTTATCTACAGGGAGTTCTCACTCAGCAGAACAGAACAGCCCTAAACGTGGTTTTGAGAACTATACTGACTTACATTCACCTTCATATAGGTAACAAAGATCACCTGTGAATAAACTCAATGACTTTAAAAAAGTTTCCTAAAGAAAGTCAGTTATATGGTAGAGCAGTCTTCAGGCTCTTCATTAAAACAGCTGTTGATGCTTTAATTGCATCCTTGCTGACTTGCAAAATGGGCTGTAGTTAACATTAGGTTGTTCAGCTTGCCAGAGATTCAGTTAGCTTGAACTTTCTACTCTTTGTTTGTTTCTGCTAGATACAGGGCCATAAGAAAATACTGAAATATGCTACTTGTCCTTACAATGTTTGCAGTTGGTGGGGGAAAAATATCTGACAGTTGACAGTATTTTCAAACCCACTAAGTTTATATCTGTATTTTTTGTGTGTGTACCTATAAGCAGCTGTCATGCACATATAAATGCACAGGTTACACCTGTTATAATGGAAGTCTGAACATCCCAGATTCAGTATTTTTCAATGTCTCAACATTTTCATTTACAAATGTGACAGAACTCTCTGTGGAAGTTAAACTTCCATGGTGAAATCTAGAACCCTTCTGTATCTGCACTAAAGTACATGTGAGGATTACTCATTACTTGAGCTTTTGAGTATATTTTATTTGTTTTATGATTTTTTTTCATGCAAGTCCAGTTGCTAATATCTCAGTTCTCCTCTTGGATATTCTCATTAGAGCCCAAGAGTTAAGTCTCAGCACTGTGGTAAGCAGTATGTGGTGGACATCTAGTCTTTGTACGTTTGATTGTTTTTCCTAGATATCAAGAGCTGTATGGAAGCCCTCCAATTCCTGTTACTCCTTTTCCAATGAACAGTAGTCCACCTCATGAATACTTGGGCTTTCCAAAGATGGTGAGTTTGTGTTAAAAGTTAAAAATTTGGGAGATTTTTTTACAATATTGACTGTATTCTGCATTTCTGCAAACAATGGTACTTATTTAATGTCTCAAAATGGGATCTAGGCTGCTAACATTGACTGTATTGGGTCTATTTCAGCACTTAAGCGTACTATCATAATAGGGGACCTACTAAAGCGTTATCTTACAGCAGGAATGTTTTAAAAGTTAAGGAGGCTAAAAATGTCCAAGTCTACAGAGAGAGCTCTCTCCTGTACTGTGGTCTAAATCAAATCCCCTTGCTGAGTCAAGCTAATCCAGTAAAATTATAACCGTGCGAGCAATTCCGTCTTCATATACAGCTATTTCAGTTATGGAACCTCTTAGCTCTTCTACTCAATTCAGAAATACCCAGCAGAAGTTTGAAATGTCCTAAAACGAAACCTAAACCTCATCCAGAAAATCACCACTGCTCAAGTCAGGGCAGCAACAGTTTTAGGGTTTCTGGCCTGAACCTTTACATGCCCATGCAGTTCTCACATTCATGATTTACTTTCACAGCAGTAGACAGTGAAAACCTGTATTCATTTCCCCTCCAACAGACTCTGGTCCTGTCCTAATCTCTTGTGGCTGAGATACTCCACAAGGCAAGGGAACAGGTCTCTTCAGATGGCAACCTGTGGGCCAAACCCTACTCGCTTCCATCATGGAGCTTCTGAATCTGATGAGTATGGATCAGTAGGACTGAAGAAACCCAGCATTTAATGTGAGGTACCAACTGTGGACAGCAGTGCTGCTGCCCAGTCTGACTGGGGAATGGCCAGCTCTCTTTAACTGAGGAAAGGGTGAAGTCTGGATAGGTGACACTTGCTAGCTGCAGTCTGAGCAGCAAAATAGAGAGGGTTTGTTCCCTGTTGCACAGTTCTGTTAGTGGCCTGCCTCCCTTCTTCCTAGGCTGTAGCCTCAGAAGGGCTGATGCTTGCACAGACTGTCACATCCCCTCCACTGTGGTTGGAAGGCTTGGGAGTGTTCAATCTCCCCCACTGCTCACCGATGAGCCCACTCCTCATTAACAATGCAGTACGCAAATATCCAGAGACCAGGCTCAGCAGACCAGCACACACAACCCACTTCATCCCATTTGCTGCTTGCTAAAAGGGATAGAATTGCAGTATGTCTCCAATAATAGTTTGGTGCAGCTTCAGCAGTAAGTGGTCTTGTCACATGTACACCTACACAAATCTACCTCCCCTTTCCTTGGGTGAGGCAGGCAAGTTACTTGGAGTCTGCCGGCACATATAACAGACATGCTCCCCATAATTTTTCTGGTTACTGCCAGTCAGTAAAAGCCACTCTTTTCTGACCTTTGTAATTCCATTTCTGTATTTGGACTGTGCATTTTGTATGAGAGGGACTCTTGGAATACTTTAGGGACTGGAGCAGTAAACTGGCCACTTGCTGCATTGTTCTATGTGCTTTGATCTCTGGATTCACTATACCTCATTGGAATGCCTTGTTCCACATGAAAATTAGTTAACCAGGTTAAAAGAAAAAATTTCAAATGTGCATTTACATTTACATTCTTTACATAAAGTCTTTACATTAACAATAGGCACTGAAGTTAGAAATGTTTATAAAATACGCAGATGGAGAAATGAAAGGAAAGCCATATTTGATTACCTTACACAAGGACTAACTGGCAGTTTAATTTTGAATCAAATTATCTCTCTTCTAACTATGCCACTAAAAAATTGTCTACTTTTTCTAACTATACTAGTTGATATAATAAATACATAAGTTTTACTCTCAAGTGATCTGTGTTATAATTTATCAGTAATTTCCCTGTATAAGCCGTAATGCATGCAACATTAAACCCTTCAGAACTTCCTCTTTACAGTGTTAACAACCCAAGTTTCTGTTTCTCTAGGTGAACAGTTTAGGACAGCAGTACCCAGTACAGAGTCCAATGGTTCAGCAATTTCCTTATTACCAGATGACTCCACCACAGCCTTCAAATTTCCGCTTTTCTCCCAATCAGAACCAAGCTGCAAACTTTAAGTCTGCAGAGAGTTCTTTTGAAATGGCCCTGCCACACTCAAGTCACTGTGGAATGCACCAGGTAGATCAAAGAACCTATAAAAGAAAAAGAGAACACCAAAGTTATGACAGTGACACTAGCTCTGAGGGTGACAAAATGAGACAAAGAAAGGACGGCGAAAAATACAGGAAGTGCAAAGCCAAGAGAAAGAGGCGCTAATATTGCCTAACTGGGTTAGTCTTTTTGTTATTTGCTGCTTTTATTTGAGGGGAATGCAATATTTCATCTTTGCACTTTATTAAAAAAGTGAATGTTCGAGATTCATATTATTTTTAAAAAGTTTTATGCATAAAGGATACTGATAACTTTATTTAATCTCAACCTATTTAAAGAGGAAAGTACTATTTCAGGTATAGGAAGCGTTTAAGAAGATAAAGTTTTCCAAATAAAGAAAAAAAACTCGTTGATTCTCTCTTCACCCAGGAATCATGGAAGGCTATTATTTCACTAATACAGAAAGAAACTTTATGAAAATACATGATTTCAGCCACTCATGAAGCATATGTATCATGTCCGTCACTTATGGAATGTATTTCTGTGACTGGTGTAAGAATTCTCCAGAGCCACTGAAGAAGTGATCAGGCTAGAAATACATCAGAGAACATCAGATATGTGCTTGTCACTGAAGTACTGTAACTTTGTTCTGATTTAGCTCTGCTGTTACTTTCAGTTAGAATCAGTTTGTGTGGTTATTGGAACTCGGTTTTTCCAGTAGTAACTTTGAGGTAAAATACAGGCTACAGGGTAAAATACACTGGCTACAAGACTTACATATGTATCAGTACTAAAATGCATGTATGTACTTTATGGCTTCAGTTATGTACTGAATAGAATTATGTGCAATATATGTATCTTTCTGTGAAGTTACTCTCTAGTGTTTTATTTGCTTATTTGAGAATCTTACTGTTTGTTGTAACAAATCAGTGAAAAATTTTGTGAATATCTCATGTAAATGACAGCACAAAAGCATACGTCAGTGGAGTTAGTGCTACCCCTTAAGAAGGAAAGTTTTCCCTAGCAAAGGAAGAATAAACTGTCTCATAATGTGATGAATCAAAGTAGTCAAATGACCCATTTTCTACCTTTCATAAACTCCCACCACCAGCCTGTAGACAGGTGCAGAGCTATTGTCTTACCAATATTGTCTTATGCAATACCAAGTACAGGTTAAACACTTTTAAGATCATATTATATGAGAAAGCAAAACACTCAGTTTTCAGCTTTTTAATATGGCTTAAAGTCAAGCCTTCAGAGTAGATGTGGGCTTTAAATTGACCCTGATAGTAAAAAAGGATTTTGATTTTGTTAAACTCAAGTTTTCTTGATTATAATGCTGGGTTGTTTTTCATCATTATACTGGTATTGAGAAAGAATACCCAAATTTACTGGTCTAAAGGTGCTGTGTTTTACAAGCTGGACTTTCAGAAATTGAAGAGCATTTAGCTTGCAACGATTTCTGTTTTGTCTGACAAGATAAAATACAGCTATTAAAATCACTTTCTCAAGACACTGCTTTTAATTTGCCCATCACTTCTTAGGCCTAAGGGGTATTCCTATAACACCACAGTATGGAATCCTTGGAACATCATTAGCAACTGAATTCAGCCTTCTCTAGAAATAACTTTATGTAACAAAGGTTTGTGCCTTAAGTAAAATGTCTTATGTTTTAAGAAACGTGCTAGGTCTGCCCAATCTGTTTATCAGACAAAGGAGAAAACAGATGGATGCTCAAACCAGAGTTAGTCTACAAAAAAAAGAAGCTTAGTGAGGTCTGTGCTAGTGTGTCCTTACCAGGCTTCCAGGCTTTCCCAGTGGATAGGTAAAATAACCTGTCCAATTATATTCTACAAAAGGACTGTCAAAGAGGATCATACTGCATATGGCTGACAACGTAACACACTTCTTCTGAAGAAATACTTTCTTACCTTTCTTTTTCCCAATCTTCTCCCCTTCTCCACCGCCACTGCTCCCTCTAGGGGATACGGTCTTTAACACTGCTCTGTATCCACTTGGCTAAAACTCATCAATGTGTTAAAAAACCTGATCATGTGGGAATGTGCTAACATTACTTTAGCCAAAACTAAATTTCTTTCATACATCTGTTAAGATGCCACTTTTGTCAAGGCCCTCATTGAAACTGATGTGGCCTATTGCGTACAAGGGGGTTGTACAAGGGGGTTAGACAAAATGTACAGAGGGGGGTTGTACAAGGGGATACTGCCTAAGTTATAGCTGGCTTGACAAGCTTAGCAGATGCCTTATCAGACAGTACCAGGATAGAACTTCCTAATGAGGAGAATAGAGGGGCGTTGTACAAGGGGATACTGCCTAAGTTAAGCTTGTTTGACAAGCTCAGCAGATGCCTTATCAGGCAGTACTAAGATAGAACTTCCTAACGAAGAGAGTAGCTCATTAAACCAGTTGGACATAGACCAGACCCATTCAGCTCCTAAAGAGCATGCGTGAGGACCAGAGGTAAAAAGTTCAAGCCTGAGGAAGACTCGTTTACTTCATCTTGAAGACCCCTACCCACAAGAAGAAGACTACTTACTTCATCTGAAGACCCCTGCCCAAGACCACCAGGAGGCACTGCGCATGCTTGGAGAGCCTTTTAGGGCATTATAATACGAAGCGGGGATAGAACATGTATATGAATAGGCGTATTGTGCAACCTAATACATATGTACGACTTTACAGGATAAATGTAAAAGGAAAACGGCACTGACGCACGCATGCCTTTTGGAGGACCAATCCCCCGTGCGTCTTCAGCTGAATAAAGCATACCTACTTTACAACTTTAACGAAGTTGTGGAGTCTATTCCACTATCACTCATGATATTTTAATTACATCGTCACCATGATTAAGAAATAAAACAAAAAAATCCACAGTTGAGCTTGGCCTTGACCAAATGTTCCTTCAACCTCCGGTTTCAGTCACTCTAAGAAAATTTTCAATAATATTAAATGAGTGTTTTCTATGTTCTGATTATAAATCACTGTTATTTGTCCTGGCCTTTCATTTCCTATGTTACTGGCTGGCCATGAGACCTTGCTTTTTCCCTGCTGTCACAGAGGTCTTACATTCGTTTCTCTGTATATTATACATGAATTCAATACATAGATATTCCTGTTACAACCTCCCAAACTTCGGACAAATCAGTATTGCTCAGTCGGCGATGTCCCCGCACTCCCTGCAGCCATGGGGATGCCGTGACGCACGGCTCGCACAGGGCACCGGGGGCCGCAACCGGGGCCCTGCGGGGCTGGAGAACCGGACGGGCCTCGCCGGGCCCAGGCCGCGGGGAAGCGTGGGTGTGGGCCTGCGGCTGGAGCTGAGGCAGCGCCGCCCTCCCGCGCTGCGCCCCGGCTTCTCCGCCTCCGGTGCCTCTCCCCCTCAGCGGGCTCTTCGGCAGCAGGAAGGAGCCATGGCCGCCGCCCGCGGGAAGCACAGCGGCTTCTACGGGCGCCAGAGTCCCACCGGCACGAAGGTGACAGAGCGCGGGGGGCCGAGCGGGAGGAGGTGTTACGGATGGGGCTGAGAGCGGGCACCTTCCCCCCGCGGCCTGCCGGGGGGGAAGGCGGGGCGCTGCGGGTGGATGCGTTGAACCTGCGGGAGTTCAGGTAGGCTTCGTGGTAGCGCTATGCAGAAAACCCGCAACTAATGGCAACTGGTATGTCTGGGGTCTATCCTTCGAATTTGCAAGAAGGGAATAGTCTTTAGGCCAGGGTTTTGTTCAGCACAAATAGGAGTAGGAAGAGCATTTAAAGCAGGGAATGCTTGTGACCAAGCCTTCGACTGTGTTCCTCAATAGTAAAAGGCAGTATTTCAAACAGCGCTGTATGGGTGTGAACCGTAATGGACTGTGGCAAACATTGACATCTGATAGCAAAGGGTGAGTAGATGCCGAAGCAGAGGTGTTTGTTAGAGAAGGAGCGCATGTACGGTTGTTGCGTGTTTGTTAACCGTGAATTGCCGTTTAATCATTCGAGGTTTTTCCGCAGAAAGCGCAAATAAAAATGCTGTGGCAAATACCCAGTGTCTCAGAGCACCTGCTGCATGCGGTTTGGATAGGTGGGGTTTTGCACCACCTGCCGAAGAGAACTGTAACTGCATCTTCGGCTAGAAACGGGTTTAGAGCGGTGCTTACTGCGGCACAGAATTACCCCCCCAGGCGTGCTGAAGTCACTCTTGAGTGCGGGTACACAGTACTGAAGAAACGTGGGAGAGTTCGTATTTGATTACCTCTATTACACTTGCCTCGAGTGACTTCTGAAATTGACAGCAGTGCACAAGCCTCATGTTCTCCTCATTTATGTGTGCAATACAATTAGTAGTACTTCATTCTTAGGGGCTGAAAGGAGTTTGCTGTTCTTTAGGTGTTAGCAGTGGAAATAGCTAGGTTGTCAAAGTGGGGGAAAAAAAACCCACAGGATTTTAAGTGTCAAAGATTTAAGAAAGGTTTGCTTGTATTTGACATAGAATCAGAATATCTCAATTTGGAAGGGAACCATAGTGATCATCGAGTCCAACTCCTATGCTTTACTGTTTGGTATGTGTAAATAGTGTAAAATCAAGCTAAGGTGGTGGTTGATATCCTCTTACACCAAGTTAAGTTGTTCTAATAAGAACGTAGATCTCTTTCATCCTTCATACCTTGTGTTTGAGTGTGTTGGTGGGAGAAGGTAACAGGCAAAGAAATGTAGACCTTATTGTAGTCCAGAATAAAATAGCCCCTAAAACCTGCCTGTTTAGTAAACGAGCAAACAAACAAAACCTAATATTTTTTTTTACTCTTTCAAGTAACATTGATACCTTTTTATTCTTTTAAACAGAATCGCAGCCCTGAAGAGAATGTTTTTTTCCTCAGTAAGTTAACGTACTCCTGGTTTAGCAGGTGAGGATTTACTAAACTGCCTGTTGGTGTTCACTTGTGTTCACAGAACTGGAGAGCACACACTTACGTTCCACACCATCATTCTGGCTTGAGCCGGAGTTTAAGCCTGAGATTGCTCTTAACTTTTTGTACAAAAATCAAAATTTACAATTTTAGAAGTCATACTAAAATATTTTCTGGAGTATTGTTTATATATAGTTAACAATCATTTTGCACTGTATCTAATGGCATTATTTAAAACATTAACATTTTGGTAACTACGCACAGTATTCTTGTCGCAATGGACAACAAAAAAGGCCAAATTAGGCTATCATTTTTTATTGTGTAAAGTTTCCAATAGACAAAAATGAGAAAGGATTCCTTTATACTCCATGTAGTGGTACAGCAATTTGCTACATCGCCAGGAACAAATACTCAGCAGTACATATAAGGTCTTTTCCAAGTAGCCAATTTCATGCTTGTCTTCTTCCCTTTTTTATGGTAGGCCGCATGTTGTAACTGTAGGTCACCTGCTTATAAAGCCCAACAAAGTCCCTGCACTTGGGAAAGTTTCCACTCAAAAACCGGAACTGAAAGTTCAACTATGTTGGGTAACACAGCTTCCCATCAGTTAATATTTTGGATGTTATTTCGAACAGTTTTATGTTACATCTTGTGACCATTGCTCACTTTTAACATTTTTCTTTTTTCTTCTTTAAAAATCATTTGAATCAGATATATACAGTTCAGAAATCTAAAAGTGAGAAAAAAACATTTTAGGAATATAACAGTTTCTTGCTTTATTCAATATTATTAATTTTAAGGAAAACCTGAAAACGCAATTTATTGTTAATAAACTGAGACAAAACAATCAGATTGTTTCAAGGATTCAGAGTATTCAGTTGAACTCTGGCCCTACTGAAATTAGGAGTTCACCACCAGTTTCAGAGTAACTTTGGTTTTT